GCCTTTGTATCTGGTCAAATAAGTAATTCCGAGTAACTACTTTAGTACCCGAGGCACCAGACAGGCCTAAAATAAAAAGTAAATGGATTTAATACAAAGTAGCAATAAAATGATATTTTGCTCAATTTTTTCTCCAAATCTTCAAATACTGTTAATTTAAAAAAGCGCGGGTTTCCGCGGCAAATTTTTTTGCAGATTTTAAGAACAATATGTAAACTATTAAAAAATAAAGAAATTATTGCTCGGACGGACCCTGAAGTTAGTTAAACGACCACTTTAAAATAAAAAATACAAAAAAAATCTCATTTCTGATACAGCTATCTTTGACAATTTTTAAATATATTTAGGAAAACAAAAACTAAGTAAATTACTGTTGAAAAACATAGGCTCTATCCTTAATTATCGCAATCCACCACTGTTACTCGAAAACAATGGTTTTGAAAATAAATATGCAATTTACAAAAGTTGTAAGTTTAAGAGCGCCCGAAAACAAATACATACACGTTAAGCGAACTATCGCATTCAGACTACTCTAGAGGGTAGATTTGCGCTCGTTGAACATTGAAAAAGGTACCATGGTATTCCTGGAAGTGTGTACTACCCGCGTACATGGTTTATTTTTCAATAGATTGATTTTGGAAAACTGGGTTTTGGCCGCCTAAATCGTTGAAATCTACGTATGTGCCACGCCTAACCGGTAACCTAGGCCTGTATTAAGGTGATGCCTTGCGAATATTGGGCGTTTTAAAGAAGCGCAGAATTAGTTTTAATCGTACTTTTCCTTTATTTTATGTTCTTATTTTGAAATAATGTTATAGTTGACAAATAAATCTAGTATGTGGCTAGAGCCGAAACATGAATGGAAACAATTTTCTCGATAGAAAAAAATTCCAAAGATGACCCTTCTATAACTCTATTTTTAGTTATACAAGCAGATAGGCGAATGTATAAAAGCCAAATTTTTATATTGGTAAGGTAATAACCGATTCTAATAAGTGGCAAGTTCTTTTTTTTTAAATACAGTTTGGTTTTTCAATAAATAAATGATTTCCGATTTTTCGCTTACGTTATTTTATTCCGCGCCGCGCGCGCTATTGCTGTCCCTTTCCTCGCACTGAGAAATCATATTTCTATCCCTCTGTGTGCGAGGCATTCAGTCGGCCGAAAACTTTGATGAGGACGGACGTGCGCTCGGTGGCACTGACAATGACAGTTAATATCGTCGAACGTTAGGTTCATTCCACTTTGTTCTGGGTGATATCAGAAACTAGGAACAACAGAAATCGGGAGGGTAAATAAATATCTTATTTACCGTTATAGTTTTTGTTGTAAAATCCCGTGGAGTGATAATTTATATCGGAAACTGTCAAATTAAGAGGCAGCTTAATTTTAAATCAGTTTAATGGTAATCACAAGTAATAAAATTTGTATACCTACATCAAGTCACAGGGAATATAAGACTGTAAAACAATACATACCTCGTAGTGAGCTAACTGGTGACAAATTGAAACATATTTATTAGCATAATTATGTTTAATTGACATACTTACATCATAAATTGCATACAAATAATAATTCAGAGCAATTTTTAGGCAATAATAATCTATTTGCATTATTTATGTCGTCGAAATAATTAAGTCCACTTGATCAATGAAAAATGTCCCATCTGTTCACCTGTGTTTTCTAGGCGACTGCTAATGTCGACTGAAATCAGGTGAACAAAGTGGAATAAAACTAGAATGACAGCACAAAAAAAGAACAAAAAAGAGTGGAGTTGCACAGTATAACAATTTTATTTTTATTTAACGCCAACAAAAAATATTTTTTTTTATGAAATCGAGTGTTTTTATTTTTCAACATTTTATTCAATGAATTGCAGTATCGGTCGGCAAGTATCGATACTTACTCGTACCAAATCGTTTTTGGAAAATGTTGAGTAAAAACCGTAACAGTTTAGTAACCTTTTGGTATTATATATTAATAATAATAATTATTAATATTAATAATAATTATTATTATTAATTATTAGTCATTACCCAGTTTATATGAATTTATTGCGAGATTTACTTGTGTAAACCAAGATACACTAATTACGTAATTTAATACCAAAAGTGAATCTAAGAAAAAAAAAGTAAATAAACCAAATTGGTAATACACGTAAGTATCTACCTAAATCTCGCGACAAGCTTTTGATCATTTAAAAAGAGTCATTATTTAATATTTTTTATTTTATGTATTTTTAGAGCATAAAATTTTATATAAAATGTTGACATAAATTTTGTAGGCCTACCTATATTATAGCTTACTTGCGTTGCGAAATGAAATTGTTGGGTATTTTAAGTACCTATAGGTTGTTTCTTGTAAGGTGTCAAGCCGAAGGCAGGTGATAGGTGAGGACTAGTCGTAGTTTAGAAGTTATCGTTAATTTTGTGATTTTTAGGGTTCCGTAGCCAAATGGCAAAAAACGGAACCCTTATAAATTCGTCATGTCTGTCTGTCTGTCCGTATGTCACAGCCATTTTTTTCCGAAACTATAAGAGCTATACTGTTGAAACTTGGTAGGTAGATGTATTCTGTGAACCGCATTAACCTCGTAAGTCCTGTGTTTTTTCAACAGCAGTATTCATATCTGCCGGTTGTACTATACCAAGTACAAACTAAGAAATGTGCTTCAGACCGAGATAATTTATCGACGGTTTTACATAGTTTTTTAGACCTTAATTATGTTTTGTATTTTTTATTGTAAAAGAAAAATATTGAAAATAGTTTGTATTCCTGTAAGTACGTTAGGCTTTTTATACAGTGTAAAAAATAATATCACTAAGACAAAGGTTTTATTTAGGTAAGTATTAAAAATTAATCATATTTTTCTTTTACCGTCACGTAAGTAAGTAATAATTATAAAATTCAGTCTTTGAGACCAAATTATTTGGCCTTAGCGTTTTATATGGAGAATTTCACCAAAATTATTTTTTCCATACTATTTTTGTTGGGATTTTAAAAAAACCATAAATTCAAATTTTATAAAATTTTGTAGGTAGATTCAATTTTCAATTTCAAAATATATTTATTTCGTAAAATAATGTTACATCAAAACAGTTCTAGTGTACATTTTAATCCTAGGCTGTTATAAAAATTAACATTTAACATTTTTTTTTGCTAATTCGCTTGTTAAAAACTTATAAAATATACATTTTATCTATATTTACGAATCTTAAACTGTATTAAAAATTTATTTATAACAATAAATATTTGCCTATGTAAGCTTTAGTTAAGCATTACATTTGTTAGCATGTTTTGTAGGTAGATTGAAACAACATTAAGCTATAAAAAAATTAAGACATTTTTTTGAAAATTGGTATCAGTATAAATATATTTATTTTTGTTTAATGGAAACGGACAACAATTAGGACGAGCTGCCTTTGAAGATTAAATTCTAATTTAAAGAATAAAATTAAGTTTAACATTTTATACGTAAAAGTAAGCCCTTGAAGTCAAATTTCAAATAAAAAAAGAATGATGGACAGAGCTATACTATGAAAGAAATTACATAGTAATGAACATTGAAGAAAAAACAAACGCTAATTTCATACCTTATACAACTTTCATACAATTATTTTTGTAACAAACGCCTAACGTATTAAGTTATCAAGTACAAATTATTTTGACCGATCATGAACCTCCTAAAATATTAAGTTTCTTTTTTATATTTTGCTTAATTTACAAAAACTATAACTTATATTTACTGATACATTTAAAAAATAAGACAAAAAACAAAAGATTACTTCGCCCATGACTATTAACAATGTCGTATGTGAAAAACAGCAACTTTACAGGAGAGCGTTTCAAAGTTTAAATTGCTCATATTTTTGTACTTATTTTAGGCAGGGTTATGAAAGTTTAGAGTATTACCAGGCCTGTTCATCTCCGCGAGTTTACATCGAAAACAAAACACGCACGATTGCCCCCTACAAGAGTACTATTCGACAAGGCCTCACATACGAGCGAACATTTGACTCACGCACGCGTATTCTTGTGTATGATGGAAAAAAATAAAGAAAATGGTGTACTAAATACTGTGCAGTATTTAACTGCCTAAATAATAATAAAAACACAGAATGTACTTTTTTATGTTGCCTGAAGACACTGAGAGGTAAATAAGTAGTTAAATTATTCATGATAATTCATGCTAAATCATGTATTTCCTCCGCCATTTTCTGCAGATTGGCACCTCACGTCACATCATTTTACCGAAGTCAGCCCTATAGCTTCGGCGCAGTGCCGATCACTGACGTTTGTCAACAAAACTTCTGACAAACTTGCTTGACTCTTGAGACAAGCTAAATTACACCATATTGTTAATGACATTGAGCATACATTTTTTTAAATACCTTCGCGAAGTAAAACTTCTGTACGTAGTACTTATTATTATTCTGTGGTATTACTATGAAAGTTATTTATGTTTAGGACAATATTATGAGTACCCGGTATTTAATGTGTAAATATGAGAAAAGTCACTTGTGACCTTTTTAACGGAGTTATACTAGTGCTTATTTGTCATATCTACCAGAACCGACATTGTTGCATGAACGAAATTAGTGATTACTTGTCGGAAATGCCACTTACGTCCTTGTTTAATTATTTATTTATGATTATACGTATGTCGTATGTAAAAATTACTGAAAAAAACAAAAAATCTATAGAAATTATATACAGTATGTCCCAAAAAGTAGTGTCAAGCCGAAGTCCAGAGGTAGAGCGTCACTAGGGCTACCCAAATCACCGTGACTTTTAATAGTTCTCGAGTTATGATTTTTTTTACAACATACAGGATTTTAGTTTTCATTCGTGTTATGGATGTAAATACTTCTGAATTAGCTAGGCCTAGTATTCATCTAATAATATTTAAAATATTAGCCATGTAACTTGACTATTTGAGTCACAGTGACCAAAAAAGTGCCTAAGCACAGAAATTAAAACAATCATAACTCGAAGACTATAAAAAATCGCGGAACATACATGGGGGTGATTTGGATAGTCCTAGTGATGCTCTACCTCTGGGCTTCGGAGCTATTGAGTTAAGCATTATGTCACGTATAATGTTTCCAAAGATCACACTCCCACAAGATTTATGATGGGCAGACTGCTCATGACTGACTTCATCAGAAGAACACTCACAAAAAGGAGACGGAACTAGTTTGAATTCGTGAAACTTAAGTTTAAAGTTGCCTTGCCCCTTAAGGAACTGCGACAAGCAATGGTCGATATCTAGTCATCGCCTAGATATACGTTCGCGTCGCGTACATTCGGGAAGAATTTATATAATTGACGCCCTTTGACTGACGTATCCCATCTTTTTTGCCATTCAGTAACTAATTCCTCTTCAACGACTTGTCGGGAATCAAATAATCAGCTTATTTTAGAACGATCGCGTTATTGAAGAACTTGGAGGTTATATTTTCCCGTGATGCGAAGTACATAGACGCACGCTTTTGTACCTTTAAGTCGACCGGCAGTACACCAGCCAGGACTAGCAGGGCTTCCGTGCTCACAGTTCTGTAAGCTTTTAAAAGAAAAATCAGTGCAAGGCGTTGACTTTGGAGTAATTTCCGTCGAGCGGCTCCTATAGTAGCCTAGTGATGCTCTACCTCTGGGCTTCGGAGCTATTGAGTTAAGCATTATGTCACGTATAATGTTTCCAAAGATCACACTCCCACAAGATTTATGATGGGCAGACTGCTCATGACTGACTTCATCAGAAGAACACTCACAAAAAGGAGACGGAACTAGTTTGAATTCGTGAAACTTAAGTTTAAAGTTGCCTTGCCCCTTAAGGAACTGCGACAAGCAATGGTCGATATCTAGTCATCGCCTAGATATACGTTCGCGTACATTCGGGAAGAATTTATATAATTGACGCCCTTTGACTGACGTATCCCATCTTTTTTGCCATTCAGTAACTAATTCCTCTTCAACGACTTGTCGGGAATCAAATAATCAGCTTATTTTAGAACGATCGCGTTATTGAAGAACTTGGAGGTTATATTTTCCCGTGATGCGAAGTACATAGACGCACGCTTTTGTACCTTTAAGTCGACCGGCAGTACACCAGCCAGGACTAGCAGGGCTTCCGTGCTCACAGTTCTGTAAGCTTTGCAAAGAAAAATCAGTGCAAGGCGTTGACTTTGGAGTAATTTCCGTCGAGCGGCTCCTATAGTAGCTCTGTTGGCCCAAACTGGTGCACCATAGCAAATGGAGCTTAGACACGTAGCCACGTATATTATTCGGAGCATTTCAAATGATAGACCCCACGTCGAGGTTGATATTTGACTTAGAGCATAAAAGTTTCTTTGGTGGTGGAAGTGGTGACGGTACCGATGTTTTAACGGCGCTAGTAGCATTAGCTTCCTTTACTGATAATATCTCGTCATCGTCATTGAATACATCACTAAGTAATTCCTGCATTTGAATCAATTCCTCTTGAAAACTCGCCGGTATAGGAGACTCTTGACGAACTAAAAATAACTATAAAAAACTATAAGTAATTTAAATTATGTAAGGCCCGAATTAAAAAAGTATAGTTTATAAATAAAAGAAGGCATAAAAAGACATTTGCAAATTCATGCGTGCGAACAAAAATTATTTATAACAAACATGCTTATTTTATTTTACAGTCAGTCAGACAGTCAGTCAATCATCGTCATACAAGATACTAGCGACATTTTAGTATTTTACAAAACAACTAACAATGGCTAACAAGTTACTACCGAAAGTTTAACCCATTTGTAGAACGTTATAATAATGTCGGATGTGGAGCTACCGACATTTAAATTATTTAAGAAACATTCAATAACGTCGAATATGGTACTTCTGACATTTATCCCATTCAAAGAAAAGCTTAACAACGTCGTATGTGGTACTACTGACATAAAGTGTTACAAAAATAAGATTAACAATGTCGGATATGGTACATCTTACAATTTTAAGTTATGTGTTAGGAAATGCTAATGCAAGTTGGTATTACATTAAAAATTATTTATATTTAATATAACTGCCGTAAAAAACAAATGACAACACGACGTCCGTTCATCCCGCTAACATAGCCAGAAGTGGGAGATCGCACGCGCTCACCCGCCTCCGCGCACCGCTAAATACGTCGGGAACAACTATCCGGCATTGTTAACGGACTATCTAGGCAATATCCGACATTTTTAATGTAGTTATCTCAAAAACTATGCATAAAATCATAATTTTTGTTTCACCTGATGATAGCTTGTATTATTTACGCACAAATTATGAAATAAAATGAAAATGGCAATTTTGCAGTTCCGACTATGCTAATAGTCATGGGCGACTTTAATATAAACAGATAAACTATCGTCGTGCCGGCCGGCAATCCGACTTCGTGACCATTTTGCGAAAAAATGACACTGACACTGACAGTTGACGTTACCTGTCTAACAAAGAGTATTGAATGAGTATGGTCGTATCATTTTTGCCAATTTAAAAAAAACTACCCGGTAAATGGGGAAACAAAAATTTGTACTTGGGTAAGTACATTAGGCAGTTACTCTTGCTATGTAGTTTAAATGTCAGGTCTGAACTACTATGCTTAGTATGTACTTGTACAATACGCGGGGACTTACGAGATGAGTAAGATGCAATAATAAAAAAATAATAAAAAATATTGGGGGCTCCCCATACTTAGAACTGAATTTTTTATCAAACATACGTGTGTGGATAGGTCTATGGATTGGTCTTCAAAAATGATATCGAGGTTTCTAAAATATTTTTTTTCTAAACCGAATAGTTTGCGTGACAGACGCTTCCAAAGTGGAAAAAAGTTGGTCCCCCCCCCTCTAACTTCTAAAATAAGAAAATGAAAAATCTAAAAAAAAATCATAATATGAAGTACATTAAACTGAAGGGTAAACTGGTCGAGAATGCTTTAGTGCATTAAGTTCGCCTTATGTACAAATTTATATTGGCATTAAAGTTTAAATAAATAAATACATTACTATAACAACCACCAACGAAAATTGTTTTGAACGAGATCTAGTAAGTAGTTTTTTTTAATACCTCGTAAATCGTAAACCGCTTATTAGGTACCGCGTAATCTTTCATACAAATAACTTAAATTAAATAATAATAATAATTTTGATTTCATAAATGGTACGGAACCCTTTGTGCGTGAGTCCAACACGCACTTGGCTGGTTTTTTTCAAATTTTATGACCTAGTAGGCTTTAAGAAACATATCTGTTTTTTTTGGGTCGACTTGATTGATTAATTGCAGATGTTTGAAAAAATAATCATCTTTGATGCAAGATACAAAATTTTTGCTAGAAACATAAAAAATGTGCTTTTAGCAGAACATTCTAAAATCTTCAACTTAAAAGTTTGAGAAAGAAAATAACTTCCATAGGTCCAAAATAATTTTAAAAACTGCCTAATGAACTAGAACTTTTTTAGAACTAACTAATATTTGCAATCCCCTAAGTTTACGTTATGTAGAACACATTTAGAGACAATAACTGAAAAGAAATTTTTTTTTATTCGCAACGCGGAAGCTCTTTCATTTTCATATTCCCTGTTTTTTTTCTGTAATCACAAATTAACGATAACTTCTAAACTAACATCGGTACAACGTACATCAGGTGTCATCATTTTGTACCTATACCCACAAATCACATAAACTTTACGCTTTAAAAAATGTTTTTTAACAGTGTTACTAACATAAATGGTATCTGGAAAATGATAATAATAAATAAAATTAATTATAATACTTTTATGATGATTTCCTATTAATACTTTGTATGAATTTTTAATAAATGGTAAAATTTGAAATCAAGTGAAAGCAATTTTTACAGATTTTTTCAGTCAAAAGTTGATTTGACCGATTATGAGTTTTGACTGCATCATAATATTTAACGCAAACCAATAACAATGTACATCAAGTAATTAAATCAAAAAAAGAAATGTGTGACGCGACTCCATTGTTTCCATGTTCGTTTTCATTCAATTTCAAATTTTTCTCTGATTTTACGAAGCGAGCGACTCGTCGCGACGAGTGACGCTTTCGCGGGTGCGGAGCCTGCGGGGGGAATGGGCGGAGCTTGTTGAAAACAAATTCTACAAGGTAGCGCCTTAAGTATAATGACACAGTTTGAACCTACTCAGATAGTGACGATAACGTTGCTAACAACAACCGGTCATTTAGTTGTAAACGAGCCGCTTGCGCGCGCGCCTGTCTAGACGTTAGTGCTGGGAATACAGTGAATAATCTGTAGGTAAAGTGTAGTAAGTGCATAAAAATGGAATTTCACACTACATCTGACGGTATGTTTGTGCACAAATGGTGTTTTATGGTTAGACGCAGGCAATTTTAATTCTTTTTGCAGACAATATAATCTGTTTGTTATGTTTATCAACCTTTGATAATAGCCAAACGAACGACGTTTTGGGCCTTTTTGATGCAATTTAATGCTTCAAGTGCTATTAAACCTAAATTATTATATTTTACTACTGCAATGAAGATGAAATAAAGTTATGGGTTATAGGTATGTTATAATTTATAACAAGAATTAGTTTCTAGTGGCCAGCACCTTTAATAAATAGTCAAATAATAGAAGCCTTATGTTGTTGGTTACTTAAATCAATTTGGGAAAAATAATAATAGGTTACCTACATTACGTATGTAATACAACAAACCTTTTATTCGAAGATAAGCCTATTTTTTATTTTATTTATTTGTAATAGGTATACAAACTGTATTGGTAAAAACTGTCAATAAGTTATTCAAGAAAGATTTTTTTATTTTTTTACTTTTCAGGAAAGTACATAATAGAAGTCCTTACAGCTGCTACTTTCCCTGGTGCTTTAAAAGTAAGTAGAAATCGTTGCAATAAATCCCATTAAACTTTTCTACCATTCATTCATCAGCATCTGCTCCTATTATTCATCTTATTAAAGCCTTTTAGATGAAAGCAAATAGATAAGCTGTATAGTTATTCTGTCTTCGCCTTTAAAACAGCGGTTATTCGATCATGAAGTTCCAAGGTCTTCTTCACCATTTACCAGTGGTTTGTTCATTAGGTACAGTCAACAGCACATAAGACTATACATTTTCTTTGCAAATTCACCCCTATTAAAACTGTTTATGAACTTTTAGTTTCTTCAGAGTTTAGTTTGATATGCTGTCGTAGGTACGTACAGTACCTCTAGTAGGAAAAACTTTCGAGTTCGTTTCGTTGCGTATTCAAAGTGTCATCGAAAAATTTTGTATGAAAAATTAAACAGCGCCCCCTAGGGCGGCTATAATATAGGGGGCGCTGTTTAATTTTTCATACAAAATTTTTCGATGACACTTTGAATACGCAACGAAACGAACTCGAAAGTTTTTCCTACTAGAGGTACAGGCCTGTTCATCTCCGCGAGTTTACATCGAAAACAAAACACGCACGATGGCCCACCTACAGTGTACCTACCATGAGTTTACGTTAGGTGTGCTCGATAGCGAGTACGTCAAAAATCTCTATGAAGATTTTGTTTCTTGAAAGCACAATATGTCATACAATTAATGTCATTTTTTTACGCAGTCGCTAGCGAGCACACCTAACGTAAACTCATGGTAAGCACACAGGTTACTATTCGACGAGGCCTCACATACGAGCGAACATTGACTCACGCACGCGTATTCTTGTGTATGATGAAAAAAAATAATGGATTTAACTGTGCAGTATTTAACTGCCTAAATAATAATAAAAACACAAAATGTACTTTTTAAGTTGCCTCAAGATACTGAGAGGTAAATAAGTAGTTAATATTATTCATGATAATTCATGCTAAATCATGTCTATTTCCTCCGCCATTTTCGCAGTTTGGCACCTCACGTCACATCATTTTACCGAAGTCATCCCTATAGCTTCGGCGCAGTGCCGATCACTGACGTTTGTCAACAAAATGGTGCTTGACTCTTGAGACAGGCTAAATTACACCATATTGTTAATGACATTGAGCATACATTTTTTAAATACCTTCGTGAAGTAAAACTTCTGTACGTAGTAGGTACTTATTATTATTCTGTGGTACGTACAACACTGTTTATTATTACCACCCTTCGGATGGCAGCCCTAACGTCACTCACATCTCCATCGCAGTTTCCAACACAAAGTTAATTAGCAAGTATTCCATCGTTCTATGAAACTTAAACGCAAAGTTGGGTTTTGGCAACTACGCTTAATATGGGATAAGTTTCTCAAAGGCATCAAGCGAACACTGTATTAGGCAGCGCTATTTAGGAAGATAATGGTATCATTAAACATTTTGCTTTGTTTGAGATCGTAAGATAATTCAATAGTCGACTTCCTAGTTTTTGGTAAATTGTATGCAGAAGTGAGGGATTCTCTAATCTTTTAACCTTTCATGCTCACAAAGCAATTAATATCATATTAATGTTTCTTTACGAGATCGAATCAGAAATGAGGAGATTCGTAAACGCACTAAAGTCACTGACATAGCCCAAAGGATTGGTAAGATGAATGGCAATGGGCAGGGCATATAGAACGCAGAACTAACGACCGATGGGGCAGCACAGTTCTGGAATAGAGGCCTCGTACCAGCAAACACAAGGGGAAAGCCTATGTTCAGCAGTGGATGATTCCTCTGGTGGAATTGATCATGATGGAGATGGTGATTACTTATTTCTTGACCACGCTTGCAACAGAGAGCCCAGAGAGCCCATCGTAAAAAGTTTTCAAAATTCACCTTTACGTTGCAGGTGATAAGAGAAGGTTTTTGTCAAGATGAAGCGGTGTGTATCGGGAGTGAAGTAAACAAGAATCCTGTAGCAGCTGAAGAGTTGCTGGACCTATGCGCTGACACAGCGCTGGACGGGGTGTCTCTGGTTGCCGTGGCAACGGACAGCGGAGAAGTCGTAGCGGTCGCTTTCAACAAACTACAAGTTGGTGTTAATTTCACTACTCACTATTTTACTAAATATTTGCTGTTATGCCAGGACCTTTTAACACAACACATTCTAGTACAAAAATCATTATCATCTTCATATATTTAGTCTCCACTAAGGAGCATCTGAAACTAGACTCCTTCTAATTTCTAGAGGTGTTAAACATAATAAATGTTTGTATTGTGCGAAGGTCGAACCCGCAGCATTGCGTCAATTTAGTTACTTTTTTAAATTTATTTCGCGAGAATAAAGTTTTGAAGACGATGAATTACAAAAAGAAGTACAAATAGAATGGAATTAACATTAACGAAGACTTTGTACCTAGTTATCAGCAACTCGTGACTAACTTTACATTATAACAATGGACTAATTACTATGTGACAGTATTAGAAAATCAAAGATTGGTTGCTTACAATGACTATTTAATTGTGACTGGTTCAAAATTTCATATTTTACAGAATTTTTTAAACTATTGACAATGTTGAGGTATACTTACATAATATAAAAGTAGAAGCCACGATAGCCGAACGATGAAGGCTCTCAGACTGCTTGAATTGAGATCCGAGGAAGTCGGGATCAAATCCCGCTGCTGCTGAATTATCAATTATGGTGGTTTCTCTTACCACGAGGAGATACAATTAAAAAAAAGTTTTAAAATGTGGATTAATACAAATAATATGTTTGCTGTTACAGGTGGCAGTAATAGATTCTTCGGAGAAGCCGTTTTTTGAGATATTCGCTGAAGATCGATGCACGCAGGAGTCGGCGAAATCCTTGATCCAGTTCATGGCAGAGGTCGACGGGAAATGCAACCTTTTTCAAAAGTAAGACCTATCACTACCTATCGCCATAACCGACTTATTGGATTAAAAACTTTATTATTTCTTCATTATAAAATACACAATCGATTTACATTGATATTATGCGATGGGATGAGCTGCTGCAAGCTGGCGAGCAGGTAAGAAAGGCCGTTACTTTGAGGGCCTTTCTCTCCAGTCCCTTAAGCTAAATCACCTTCTCAGTATTTTGTTTGTGTCTTAAATACTTACACCTGGTTGATTAGACATTTTAATGTAAATTCCATGTTTGGCGTGAAAATGCACACAATGCACCTTTATACCTTCTTTCAGCCATCTTTGTTCTATTTTTCAGGTACGGCGTAGACTGCAGCTTAGAAATTATGTTTTTGGCAACACAACGCGAACACAGGAGGCACAGATTGGGGGAACTTCTATGCAAATATTCGATAGACGTAGCTAAAAAACTAAAAGATGGTCCAATATCCAAAATGGATGTACAGGACCTTGGACCAGCATATTCAGAAATGAAACCCAGAAAACCAACTTCTTTGACCCCAAAAATCTGTCAAGCTATTTGGACGGCGGAACCCTCCCAAAAAATTGGAAAAAAACTGAACTTTACTGTTCATTTAACTGTGACCTATGACAGATTCGTATATAATGGTAAATCGTATGCTGATAGACTTGGCACGATAGCCTCTTATTGTGAAGTGGCAGCTCTTTTACTTTAAATGAATCCCATTTTATTTGAAATTATGTATTAATATTTTGCATACAAACCGGGCGAGCTAGCTGCGCACTTCGCTGGAATGCGACTCTCCCTCGCACTTACCCGCACACCTTAAGGTTCGGCCAAGCCAACGCGATCATTTAAAGGTTCGGACAAACCAACGCGTGCAGCGATGGCGATGGCGATGGCGACCACTGCGCGTGCAAAAGTTGTTTCACACTGCCGCGACCGCGATGGCGATACTGCGCGTGCAGGTTGTCACTGTCAGCACAACTGTCACGCATATTGTCAATCACGCCTATTCGGCAAAATGGAAACTGAATTTAATGATTTGTTTGGAGCTTTTGATGCAATTGAGACAGTGGAAACACTTTTTCACTCAAGTTTATTCAGGCGGCCATATATTATAGAATGAGACAGGATTACATGCGGTATAGGTAGTAGGTATTGGTTACTCATAACCAAGCTATATTTCTGGCTTCGTTTGTAGTCCCTAGAGCCCTAACAATACCTTTTAATTAGATTTAAAGAAAGGTTTGATAGGAAGGAGGACTGCACTAAGGCTTTCTTGGCCTCAGTGGGGTAAATGAAACAACGCGGACGGTTGATATCTGGTTTATTACTGTTATGCTATTGCTATTTATACAAGATTTACATAATTTACACAATTCAATGTGTCCAGTCCAATGTGCCGTCGGTGTAGAGTGCCTACGGTGCACGTTCGTTCAGGGTTCATGGGCCAGTCGGCTAGCATGTTGTAGGTCGCAGTCGATGCTGACGTGCTCGTACAGTATCCTTGTGGGCAAGTAAGTAACCAATGACAGGACGCGTTGATGTAAACACATCGCTACAAATTTATACACGCTGTCTGGTCGCCATCGCCATCGTCATCGTGCACGCCAGCTGCACGCGTTGGTCTGGTCTAACCTTTAGTCTGGTCGCCTTCGCTGCACGCCGGCTGATCGCGCTGTGATCGCGTTGGTTTGTCCGAACCTTAAATGCATTGATCGCCATCGCTGCACGCCGGCTGATCGCGTGTGATCGCGATGGTTAGACTGAACCTTTACCGCGTTCGCCTCGTCCATACCAGAGCTTCGATGTGACGTCACTGCTGCCAGATGCGCAGTTAAATTGATCGGGTTGTAAATCCCCATGATTAACCAAACTAAGAATAGGAACAGTATTTATACAATTTTTGCGGCTGACTAAGGCATCAGTCTAATTAATTTTCTTGTAAAATAACATTGAAAATCCTTTCTAACTATTAATAACATTCTCAGAGACGAAGCCATGGCTGTTACTTTATCAATTTACTAAGAATAAACTGTTGAATTTTAGCGCGTTCTTTATTTAATTTCTAATTAACTACTTTCCCCTTTGTAAAGCACAAAGTGAAGTATTGTTACAAAATGTTGTCACAGGGAAAATTATGAACAAGAAAATTTTACCTTAAAAAATATTTGCTCATAAAATTGTTCTATTTTTAGGAAATTCATTATCTCTAGATGAATAAGTGAAACCAATTATGTAAAGAATAATCTTGTAATTATTAGGCATAATACTTAACGAGAAGATTAGGATTACTATTGATGAGTTTTCTTTGAAAGATTACTTCTTAGTTGTCACCTTTTTGGCTTCTTCATAGAACTGTGATAGAACCTTAATGTGTAGCGACGGTAAATTAAACTAAACAATGTTGCTTCTGAGGTAGCTGTATTAGGAGCGATATTGCAACAAAAATTTAAAGTCTAATGTGCTAGGGATTTGTATTCTTAGTTCGATACTTATTTTGCTCTTTTTATCCTCTGACTGAACATTGTAGGCAAGGACTCTAGGAGCCATTAGACTGATAATAGCAAAATGTAAGGACTATCAATTCGAATTAACGAATAGGTAACTTGATAAAGTGGCATTCTTGCAGAAAAACTCGCGTTCGCTTCGATACAGCTTTTTAGAGTCGAAGCGATTACGAAATTGAATGTGTCACCTTAATGCTAAAGTATAAATCTGTATTCAGACTGAAGTAATCGCTTGGAAACTCTAACTAAATGCTAGATCCGCATCATCTAAAAATCCGTTGTCACCGAAGATATCACTAAAGAGAATGTTCGCAACAAAGTTAGCACGTCGACGGCGGACCGTAATTGCATGGACTGCGCAAATTGGTTCTTGCTAATTGATTCAGAATCGGCATCGAATGCCCGTTGTCGTGATTATTCCGTTAGGGACGATTGTCGTGCTCGCATTTACATTCACAATTTATTATCTCTCATATTTCATTTACGGGAGAATCACGTTTTGTTGTTGTGCAGTAAACGTGTTAACCTTTCAGAAAGTTTTTTTTTAAAGAATTTCTTTATTATCCATTAGAATTAGAACTTAGCAGCAAATCTAGTACCTAACTAGCATTCGATTCTATTTTTTTTTACTGTGTATAATCCGCCTGGTAAGCAAATCAAGCTGAGCTTAAAAGTCATTGGCTTTGCTAATAATAACAGAACATAAATTATGCTGCACAAAAAACGAAATTAGATAAGTAGTGGAATTTTTATAAAAGAATATACAGAGCATATCAGTACATAGATTATTTTGAAATGAAAATGTTGATCAAAATGAGAAACATTCTCGCGTCTGACTTTCAGATTGAACGCCAATAAACCTAACCATTTAAAAATTAGCCAAAATACGTGTATACAGGGTGTTAGGTAAATGGGTATATGAGCCGACACTAGCATCAATTTATTTTTTTATTATTTTTCATACAAAATAAATTTTATAAAATACGATTTGTATGAAAAATAAAATAATTAAAATGAAGATATCAATTTTCTGACTTCACCATACCATTTATATGACCATGTTAACATGTAGTCCAGTCAATAAAGCATTATAGATGGAAAACTGTAGAACACAATTTCTGACTTCAGGACTTTATTTAGACTAGTTAGGAGGTGAACATAGCAAAAGTCCCCGCCCTTAGCCCTTGAGCCGGCGGGGAGAGGGGGGTTTAAAGGTGCCACTTTTCGGTTTTTCGCTTAATCCTCGGAAACTATGCGACCTAGTGACATGACTACTTTGAACCAAAAAAAGCATATTCAATTTGCTACAGATGAGATAGACAAGTTTTTCTATGAATTGTATAGTTTTCGCGGCATCTGCTCTAGAAGGTCTGTAATATTGGAAATTTTATTTTTGTCTTACATGTTCCCATCAGGAAAAAATCGACTAAATCAACATTGAGCAATCATTCTAGACATGCGGGAGCATGTTAAGCCTAATGTCTATAGTGTTTGCTCAATGTTGATTTAGTCGATTTTCTCCTGATGGGAACATGTAAGACAAAAATAAAATTTCCAATTTTACAGACCTTCTAGAGCAGATGCCGCAAAAACTATACAAGATATAGAAAAACTTGACGGTCTCACCTGTAGCAAATTGAATAAGCTTTTTTTGGTTCATAGTAGTCATGTCACTAGGACGCATAGTTTCCGAGGATTAAGCGAAAAACCGAAAAGTGGTACCTTTAAACCCCCCTCTCCCCGCCGGCTCAAGGGCTAAGGGCGGGGACTTTTGCTATGTTCACCACCTAACTAGGCTAAATAAAGTCCCCCCGAGGTCAGAAATTGTGTTCCACGGATTTCTCTCTACACCGTCGTTAAGGCATTCATTGACTGGACTAATGGGCTAGTGTCGGCTCATATACCCATTTACCTAACACCCTGTATACGTACTGAAAAATGTTTGAAAACAGCAAATATTTTTTTTTGGAAAACTAATATAAGTTAACCAAGTAAATATCCAAAGTAGGTAATTTAAATAAAAACCGTTTGAACCTGAATCACGCTGCCAACAAGTCTTTTAATATTCAAATGCAATCTCCTCTTACCAAATCGCTTATCGATTTATAGTTCACTCGAATCGTACTTTTATCAAGTACCCGAGTGAATCCCCAATATCTATCTCTAAATATATAAAAGGAGAAACTGACTGACTGACTGACAGATCAACGCACAGCCTAAACGGCTAAACGTAGGCACTTGAAATTTGGAAGGGACGTAGCTTAGGTACCGTAGAGGTGCACTAAGAAAGGAATTCCCACGGGAACGGGAATTAGCGGGAAAAACGGGATTCACGCGTACGAAGTCGCGGGCGGCCGCTAGTTATTTATACAGGGGGACTTATTTCATACTTCAACGAGTCAGAAAATTAGGGAAAGAACTAATACATACCCACATTTACTACGTTGTCCAAAAGAAACATTATTGTTCAGTAATAAGCATTTTATTTACCGACAATCTAAACCACAGGATATGTTTTCAGCAGAAAAGATATTGTAGCCAAATAATAAGGTTTTGTCTCGATAATAATTCTTACAAATAAATGAGCTGTCCTGTTGTTAAGCAACGATAATGTTGTCAATAAATTATGTAATAGATTAATTAATTTGCTTCAGATGAGTTGATCCAACTTTATTAAAGAATAATTTCGTGGAATCAATTTATTTTTCCAATAAAACAGTATAACAAAATATGTAATTAACGGCGTAGGACTGAACATCTTGAAACAGAATATTACGTAAATTGTTTTTTTATTAATAACGATAAAATATATTTATTTGTTCGTCTTATTAAATTAACGTAGCGTAGGCAGGCCTTCTGCTAGGTGGACTGACGATCTGGTAAAGGTTACGGGAAGAACCTGGATGCGGGCAGCGCAGGACCGTTCATTATGGAAAGCCTTGGGGGACGCCTTTGTCCAGCAGTGAACGTCATTTGGCTGAAACGACGAACGAAGATATTAAATTATATTTTTTAGAAGTGTTGAGAGCTAAAAACACAATTTAGTTTTATTGATTAGCCTCACGGGATATAAACTGAGAAGTTTAAACTATGCGGCATTGAATTTGAAATTCCATATTCGTGGAATGGAAATAGCTAACTGTTTTAACCCATCGGGGTTTTTGCGTCACTATTATCAATTCTTACGTGTAGTCTGCTCCGAGTTTCATAGTTCTCGATGAATAAAATCTCAAGGGGTTAAATTCAATCTTCTTCCTGGGGTAGGAATTCCTAATTTTAACTCCAGTTACTTGGATGATACTGATTATTTTATAGATAAGAGATATTTCTTCTGTTCCGTCAAAGCT